GGCGCGATCTCGGCTCACCGCAACCTCCGCCTCCTGGGTTCAGGCAATTCTCCTGCCTCAGCCTCCTGAGGAGCTGGGATTACAGGCACACGCCACCATGCCCAGCTGAATTTTTGTATTTGTAGTAGAGACGGGGTTTCACCATGTTGACCAGGATGGTCTCGATCTCCTGACCTCGTGATCCACCCGCCTCGGCCTCCCAAAGTGCTGGGATTACAGGCTTGAGCCACCGCGCCCGGCCCATTCTTATATAAATTAAAACACATTCACTGTAAAGTGTCCACATACGTAGGAAAAAAAAAACGCCCAGCAAGACTGCCGCGTGCTCAGCTCCCCGCCTCCTGCCGGCCTCTCTTCCTCCTGACGTTCTGCCCCGGCGCCTGCTGGCCCTAAGACCCCCTGTCCTCCGCGTGCCTTCCCTGGGGCACAGCCCATGTGGCCCCACCGCCCCCGCCCACCCCTACCTGCTCTGGAAATGAGCCCCAACCCACACCCCCAGAACGGAACCCCACCCAAGGCTCCTCCCACCTGCAGCTGGGGGCATCACTCAGGACCCCCGGAGCTCAGCACACCCCCACAACCGCATAGCCCCGTCCCCCTGCCCACCCTTGAGGGGCTACAGACTTCAAGAGGGAGGCCCCTGGGTCCCCACCCGGCCCCACGTCTCCGTGGTGACTTCAGGCTGGCCGCTTCTCTCTGCGAAGGGCTCAGAACAGGGCCAGGGACCCTCGGGCTCCGCGGCTCATCCCTCCCCGGCTGTCCCGAGATCCCCCGCCGCGCTCCGTCCCGCCAGCGCCCCAGGCCGGCATCGCCCTGATGCCCTTCCCCAGGGCGGGGCCCGAGGGCGCCTTCCCCAGGACCCGGTGGCTCAGAAACCAGGGTCCCCGCGGCCGCCCGACCTCAGAGCGGGGTCCACTCCCGAATGCCCCTCCCCACGCCGGGGCTCCCCTCTCGGGGCGCAGCGGCCTCGGGAACACGCGGTTCCCCTGCTGGAAACGTCGGGCCCGGGCCGCCTCGCCGCGTAGACAGGGCTCGGAGGAGCGACGCGGCGCCAGGGACCGGGCTCCATCGCGGCCCCCGCGCGGAGGTCCACCCCAACCCGCGACCGCACCCCCGCGGCCCCCCCGTTCCCGGGCCCCGCCCGGCGCCCTCAGCGGCCTGGGGTTCCGGCGCCACGTGACGCGCGCCCACCGCGCCCCGGACAGCGGCCTCTTCGGACACCGGCCCCGGCCGCCGGGCCTCACCTTCGGCGGCGCCGCTGGCCACGAGCAGACAGGCTGGCCGGCTAGGGAGGCGCTCGGCCGCCATGGCGCGGGCTCGGCGCTGGGTCTGCGCGTGCGTGCGCGTGCGCGGCGGCTGGGCGCGCCCGGCAGGACGCTGGTCACGTGCCGAGGCGGCCGGGGGCTGGGGCGGTGTGGGGGGGGCGGGGCGGTGTGGGGGGGGGCGGGGCGGTGTGGGGGGGGGCGGGGCGGTGTCGGGGGGCGGGGCGGTGTCGGGGGGCGGGGCGGTGTCGGGGGGCGGGGCGGTGTCGGGGGGCGGGGCGGTGTCGGGGGGCGGGGCGGAGCGGGGCGGCGCTGGGCGCCTGCGCGTTGGTCCCCGTTCGGGTCGGCTGCTCGCCCCTCCGCGCCCCTCCGCGCCCCTCCGCGCCCCTCCGCGCCCCTCCGCGCCCCTCCGCGCCCCTCCGCGCCCCTCCGCGCCCCTCCGCGCCCCTCCGCGCCCCTCCGCGCCCCTGGGCAGTTCCGGGTCGCGCCCGCTTGGGCCCCGGCGGTTGCTGCGTCCGAGCCTGGCGGGGCCGATGGGTGGAGTCGCGAGGGTCCTCCCCGGCCGGGGGCATCTGCCGCCCGCCTCGCCTGGCGCCTGAGCGGGGAACGGTTCCTGGCCCGGGGCGGCGGCTTCGGGGCGCGAAGGTGTCGGCGAAGGCGAGCCGCCTCCTCCCGGGCTCAGGCGATTCTCCTGCCTGAGCCTCCGGAGGGACCGGGACTGCGGGGACGCGTCCCCACGCCCGGCTAATCCGGTAAGTTTAGTAGAGACGGGCTTTCTCCATGTTGGCCAGGCTGGTCTCGAACTCCCGACCTCAGGTGAGCCGCCGCGCCCGGCCTTCCTTATTTTCTTTCTTTCTTTGTTTTGAGACAGGGTCCCTGGAGTGCAGTGGCGCGATCTCAGCCCACTGCAGCCTCTGCCTCCGGGTTCAAGTGCTCTTCCCACCTCAGCCTCTTGAGCAACCGGGACCACAGGTGCACATCACCACGGCCAGCTAATTTTTTTGTGCTTTGGGTAGAGACGGGGTCTCACGCTGTTGCCCAGGCTGGTCTCGAACTCCCGACCTCAGGTGAGCCGCCGCGCCCGGCCTTCCTTATTTTCTTTCTTTCTTTGTTTTGAGACAGGGTCCCTGGAGTGCAGTGGCGCGATCTCAGCCCACTGCAGCCTCTGCCTCCGGGTTCAAGTGCTCTTCCCACCTCAGCCTCTTGAGCAACCGGGACCACAGGTGCACATCACCACGGCCAGCTAATTTTTTTGTGCTTTGGGTAGAGACGGGGTCTCACGCTGTTGCCCAGGCTGGTCTCGAACTCCCGACTTCAAGTACCTGCCTGCCTTGGCCTCCCAAAGTGCGAGGACTACAGGCATGAGCCACCGAGCCCGCCCAGCCTGAACCAGTTTTTCCTTAGACTGTAGTGGGAGGGGTGACCACGTGGGGTGGTCAGCAGACGGGCAGGCAGCCTTCAGGTCCTGGGCAGGAGAGCACAAGGGAGGCGACAGGGGCACTTGGGACAGAGCCGCCAGGTGAGTGGGTCACCTGTAATCCCAGCACTTTGGGAGGTGGAGGCTGGCGGATCACCTGAGGTCAGGAGCTCCAGACCAGCCTGGCCAACATGGAGAAACCCTGTTTTCTGCATGTCATGACTAACATGGAGAAGGCCCTGGCCCCCTGCTGCCAGTATGGAGGTCCCACCAGGCTCTGCTCCACCCAGGGAAACGGTCATGGTTGGGAACAGCCAAGGGAAGGACTTCTGTGGGTTCCACCCCCTCAAAACCATTGGTTTCTGGTTCCCCCAGCTCAGCTCGGGGGAAGGATCCCTGACCCCTGCCAAACAGGCAGTGCACCCTGCCTCACCTGACGCAGAGCCCTCCTGCCACAGGGGAAGCGGGAGCTGGGGGTCCTGGCACGGCAAGGCCGGGAATTGGGCTGGGGAGTGGAGACCAAGCTGAGAGTGTGCGGCTGTCTGAAGCTTCGCAGGCCTGTGGCCACACCACAGGCTGGGCCTAGCTACCTGGAGAACTTTCTGGATCTGCAGAGGATCACATCCCCCAGAGGCGCACACTGTGGGCCTCAAACCCGGGAGCCAGAGGGGCAGGTTGGAGCAGGTCTGCATGACGGCCCAGCCCCACCTGTGGGCAGAAAGTGACCCAGGTGCCAAGGCAAGAGACTGAGGCAGGAGCTGTCCTAGTATTATAATTAAACGGATGACTTAGTTTTAGCAATGATACCAAGTATAGTCAGAAGCAATCACATAATCAATTATATGATCAATCCTATTAAATCATTATTCTTTATTAATGTTTGCTTTACTATTACAGCATAGAATCATTTTAGTATTATAGAAACAACCGGGTGAAATATAATTAGGAACTGAAGGGACGCTGTGAGAAGTGATCAGGAGGCGAGAATGAGAGCTTCCCGGTAGCACCAGCGCCTGGGAAGCGCCCGGTACTTAGCAGGCTGTGAAGGGGAGTTTCCGTTTCACTGGGGGAGTTCAGAGAACACTGCTCTACCTGGCCCTTGAGGAAGTCCTGGCATTTAGCCGGGCCGGCCCTCAGACATCAAGGGGTTTTTTAGTTTCACTCTTGTTACCCAGGTTGGAGTGCAATGGCGCGATCGCGGCTCACCGCAACCTCCGCCTCCTGGGTTCAGGCAATTCTCCTGCCTCAGCCTCCTGAGTAGCTGGGATTACAGGCACGCGCCACCATGCCCAGCTAATGTTTTGTATGTTTAGTAGAGACGGGGTTTCACCATGTTGACCAGGATGGTCTCCATCTCTTGACCTCGTGATCCACCCGCCTCGGCCTCCCAAAGTGCTGGGATTACAGGCTTGAGCCACCGCGCCCTGCCGAGATGGACTCTTGCTCTGTCACCAGGCTGGAGTGCAGTGACGCAATCTCAGCTCACTGCTACCTCCATCCTGGGTTCAAGCCATTCTTCCGCCTCAGCCTCCCGAGAAGCTGGGACCACAGGCATGCGCCACCACACCCAGCTAATTTTTATATTTTTAGTAGAGACAGGGTTTCTTCATGGCCAGGATGGTCTCAATCTCTTGACCTCGTGATCCGCCCACCTTGGCCTCCTAAAGTGCTGGGATTACAGGCCTGAGCCGCCCAGCCAGACATCCAGGGGCTTAAATGCCTCTCTGCGGTGCGGTGCTCCGATGGTCACCGTCCTTGTCCACTTTCATGTTCCGCTTTCTCGCCCGGTGCTCTTTGTAAATTCTCAGAAGTCGTGGGAAGTGAGAATAGAGGAATCCTAAAAGCCTTTGATCCTTCTGAGAAGTGCATGGACGGATGCTGATGGACGTGCCTCCCCTGCTTGCAGCGGCTCCCTGAGAGTGAGGCCCCCTGTTCCGTAAGCACGTGATTTGCTTGACCCTGTCAATCACGTCAGATAATTCACTCTGCTGACCCTGCCCCGCGTCCCTGTATACAATAAATAGCAGCTTGTCCAGGCATTCAGAGCCACTGCTGGACTCCGCCTTGGTAGCAATGGTCCCCGGGCCCTGCTGGACTCTCATCTCTGTGTCTTGTGTCTTTCTTTCCTGTGATCTGTCGTCTCCGCACTAGACCCTGTGGGGCTGGGCCCTGCACTCACCTGTGCTGGCCCCCGGGTGTCCCTAACAGCTGAGCTGGGCCGGCTACAGGTGCAGGGCTGAGTCTTTAGGAGCTCCCTCCCTGAGTAAGAGCAGCCGTATGGGGGAGGAAACTGGAAGCCGGGCTTGGCCGGGACCCTGGTGCAAGTCCAGCGCCTGCGTGTGCACCAGTGTCCGTGGCGGCGTGCCCCCCAGTGTGCGCCTGGGGCCTCACAGGAGCGCAGCGGTCAGGTCTGTGAGTGAGCGTCACTGGTTCCCGGGAAAGTGCACGTCCCTCGTGGCATTCTGAGTCCAGGGTGGCTGAGGGCATGAGCAGCCGCCATAGGAGCAGCCCCCGGGAGGCAGGAGCTGTATCCGTTTTCCCTGACTGCCCAGGTCTCCTGTGTGCAGGGCCACCCTTGTACCCTCACTGCTGAGCCCTGGAGGTTGGGTGCCCTGTGGGCACCCCCCTGCTGCTCTGGCAGCAGCCGCCAACCCCGTGTGCCCACCCAAGTGTGCTGCCATATCCTCTCCACCAGGCCAGCCTCTGCTCCCCACCTCTCCACCCCTGGCCCATGAGAAAGAGTGCTCCTCAGGCCCTGCTCAGGGCTGATGTTGGGCTGGGTGACAGGACACCTGGGCACAGTTGGGGGAGCCATGGGGGAATGGAGCCCCTGAGGGTCTCATGGGGCTGTCCCAGTGATGTCTCCTGGGAAGGGGCCCAGGCCTGGGTGTAATGGTGTCACTGATGTGGGTCCATGGCCCTGTTGTGAGGTGTCCAGGGTTGCACCTGTTGGACTGCCCACCTCACCATCCTGCCCTACTGAGTCTCCTCCCTCAGCCATTGCCCAGCTTCATGTCTGAAGTCCTGGTGTGGGGCTCACCGCCTGCCCAGTGAATGTGGAGTTCTGATGCGTCTCACAATGAGTGCCCCATGCGGGGCAGGTTTGGGGGCTGAGCACCAGGAGCTCCACCAGAGCCCGTGGCAAATCCCTGGAACCAGGGGTCTTGCCCTCGCTGGGAGACGGAGAGACTCAGGTGTGGGGGGGTCACAGGGCATGTCACGCGGCAGTGAAAAGGTTTTGTTCTGTTTCCTGCCTCCAGAACTTGCACGTGCTGGAATCCAAGGATAGGTGGGAGGGGTCCGTCCCTGGAGATGTCTGCCCTCTGGGGCTGGCCCGTGCCCGGGACCTCCTGTTACCCCTGTTGCCTGGCTCAGCGAATTCGGGGCATGCTGAGCCTTTCCCATGCTGCCTTTGCACTTGCCACTCTGCCTTCTGCTTATCAAACTCCTAACCATCCCTCAAAGCCCGCAGGCACCAGAAGCACCATGTCAGAGACTCCACAGACGCAGACGTACAGGCGTCCTGCAGTATCCGTGCGAGGTTGATCCCAGGACCCCTGCAGATGCTCAAGTCCCTGATGTAAAACACTGTAGCATTCAGCTGGGTGTGGTGGCTCACACCTGTAATCCCAGCACTTTGGGAGGCCGAGGTGGGTGGATCGCCTGAGGTCAGGAGTTT